TACAATGATGTGCGTTTGAGAGGCTACAACAGTGCCGGAACTTGATCTAAGAGGGCAGTTTACATCGCTTTCATTGTCAGCATCTCAACAAGAGACAGCAAGAATTGCGACAGGCCAAACCACCTGGGCCAAAAGGTCCCGCTGCCTCGCGTGTGCAGTCGGGCTGGGACTCCGCTGGACTGTGCCTGGACTTGGGCAGAGAGGTGTCAGCGAGCTCCCAGGAGAGCGGAGTCAGCACCGCGAAGAGGGTAGCGGGACACAAGGGCCCATGTGTTGAGGCTGACAGAGGAAGCCTGAGGAATTCGGCCAAGAGCCACGTGAGCTGCCGGGAGCCAGCGACGAGGGTGAGGAGAAGAGAGGCCGCAGTCCCGGGACGGCCACGGTGACCGCCCCCAGCGCCGGCAGCTGCTGAGCCCTCTGGGCTGGCGGCACCAGGGGGTGCGGGTGGAGGACCATCCCCGACCTGCAGGCAGGCTGCTGACGCCTCAGGGCACCTGCTCTCTCTCCAGCCTCAGCCGCGCCCGCCGTGTCTGTTCTGATGCTGAGCTGCCTGGACACGAGCCGAGCGCCGATCCCTGCCCCACCCCCTCCCCGCCTGTTTCAGGCTTTTCCCGCCTCACAAAATGACCCCTGGACTCCGGTGGGGACAGCGGCCCAGGTACCAACACCCGCCCAGGGGGCCGGCTCTGCCCAGGAGCCCGGCGCGTCCGGCCGGGGCTTCCATGAGACATGCTGAAGGGGACGAGCCCGTCAGCTGCCCAGAGCCGGAGGTCGTGTGCACGGCAGCGGCGCAACCTCCCGGAAACGCCGCTGGGCACAGACAGCGACTCTGTTCATTGAAGGATCTTGAGAAAAAGCGGGGTCGAGACCGCGGCCCTTCCCGTCCCGAGAGCAGATCGAGCCCCCACGGAGCCGGGACTAGCAGCGAGGAAGAGGGGACGTTCCCAGGCGGGGCCTGCAGCGTCCACCCCGCCCGCCCGGGCCCCAGCGGGCGCCCCCAGGCCGCAGAGCCTCACCACGTCCAAGCGCTGGTCAGTGTGGCCGGAGGACGGCGAGTCTTTGCCTAGCGAAGGGCGATTTGTATGGAGACAGCGCACCTAGGGCCGCCGCCGTCCAAGTCCTCTGCAGGTCCCGGTCCGCACCACCGTCTGGGGGGAGGGGGACGCGGCTGGACTCGCGGAAGCTGCAGTCTGGGCTTCTAATGCCACAGGGAGCAAGTAAATGGCAAACCTGCGCCATCTCCTGACAAGCAAGTGAATAGCTCTAAAAGATAAGGGACAAGATTCACGTTTTTCCACTTAAAAGAGCTCACGGAAGAGCCCTGACGGCGCGGTCCTGACCGTGGGGCACAGGTTTGCGGGGTCTGCTGGCTGCTAAATCTGAGCGCCTTCGGGAAACATCCCTGTGGCTAACTCTGCAGGACCTCACGTGCACCTGTGGGCCCGGGCTGATGGTGTGTGTCGGGGAGCGCAGCCAGGGAGCCGACGGACAAGGCCGCAGCACGGTGCGCTCTGTCCTGCAAATAGCTGCAGCCACTACTTTGTTCCAAGTAGAAGCTACAAGAAGCCCCAGGGCCGGTGCAAACATGCGCCGCACCCCCGCATCGGGCACATTTCCTGTTGTTCCTACATGCACAGACCGTGTGCAGACCCATGGACGGTCCAATGAAGAGACTCCGGACGCCAGACCCCAGGCTCCTGCTTCGTTCTCTCGCGGCTCCGAGTCTCCTACATTCCCGCGATGGGAGAACGTAGCGGTCAGCGCGCCCCTCGGTGGGTTTGTAACACACCCCCTGCACCTCTGGCCTACACCTCAGTTCTTCTACGCAAAACTAACTAAATAAAAGCTTTTCTTTAAAAAAACTAAGGTGAGCAGGTTGTCCAAGATGCGCAGTTCCCAGATGAATGGGTCACTGTGGCCTGCGCAATCTGAAACAGGAGGAATCCTCGTCCACACCGGTGTCCAGAGAAACGGCGTCAGAAGCCTGGCGAAAGCTGTTCCCGGGCTCAGGTCAACCCCAGGAGGAAGCTCTGCACCGGGGAGACGCCCGGTCTCCCCGGCTGTGTCCTGCAGACACGCACAAGGGTCGCCGCTTTGCACACACTGAGCTGGGCAGTAGTGGCCCGTTCAGGAGACCAGCGGCTTCTAGCGAGAGTCCAGCCCGGCACCCGGCCCTCAGGGCGGGGACAGCCTGGGCTCTCTCAAGGGGTTCGGGAGTCACCTCCCGAGGCAGATTCTGGGTGCAGAGTCCCCTTCCAGGCCCCGAATGGCCACATCCGCTGCACAGCAGGTGAACGCTCCACTCTCAGCTGCGGCCCAGGGCCAGCGCGGGCACACCTCAGGGCGCACCTCGGAGCCCGGACGAGCGCAGGGCCCCAGCGCCGCACCCCGCGACTGGGACCTGGGGAGAGGCGGGTGTCGCCCAGAAACATTTATAAGTGACATTAAATGGCCCCAGGTTGTACGTCTACAGATGGGTGGAACAGAGGGGAGCCCAGATATCTTTCCTGGGCTGGTCACTGGGACAGGAGCGCCCTGACCCCGCGATCCCCCGGGCCCCCAGGGACGCGCGGCGCCCTCCCCATCCGCCCAGCCCCGTCCTCTGACCGGACCCTCTGCAGGCATCGCCCCCACAGCCCGGCCACCGCCTGCTCTACCCGAAGGTGACAGGAACTACACATGGGGGACAGGTGTGAAATGCAAAATGTAAGGAAAAGTGACACATTGGGAGCCAGTGTCTGAGGAAAACACAGGTCTCTACGGAGAAAAACCTGAGAGGAACTATGCATAGGGGACACGTGTGAGACGCAAAATCTGAGGAAAAGTGACACTTTGGGAAACAGTGTGTGAGGAAAACAGTCTCTGAGGAGAAAAACCAGGAGAAACTACGCTTGGAGAACACGAGTGAATTGCAAAATCTGAGAAAAAGTGACACTTTAGGAAGCAATGTCTGAGAAAAACACAGGCTTCTGAAGAGAAAAACCTGTGGAGAATTTCACATCTGCAGTGTTTAAGATGCAAAATCTGAGGAAAAGGGACACTCTGTGAATGAATTTCTGAGAAAACACAGGTCTCTGAGGATAAAAACCTGTGGAGAATTTCACATCTGCACAGTGCTCTACATTTACACGACCTTCTCTTCTTATACACAGGTGTTATATTTTGAAATTCAAAATACTGGAAATGACAAGTAAGAAAGTAATCTAACTCAAATATATTTGTCTTCTGATGAAAAATCATAGTTTGCAGCTCTTGGTTATTTTATTTAGTCTACTGTTCAAATATTCTACAATAAAGTCCAGCGCTCTCTCCTATGATCAGAATCATTTGACCAAAGCTAATGAAAAAAATCATCGGTGACTCACAGCCCTGATTCTTGGCGGGTGGAAAGAAACTGGTGAAATTATTTTTAAAGTTAATAATTACATTGTGGTCATAGAAAAACTTTTTTTAAAAGATTTGTTTATCTATGCCTACAAGAACTAGAGAACAGACCAGAGGTGAGGTGCGGGGTGGGGAGGATTCACCAGAGACAGAGTCAGGAGCAAAACAGGCAGATTGACTGAAATACACTGCTGAGGGGGCAGTGGGGAGACAGGAGGGGTCTGCTGTACCCGGTGGGTCACATCAGGGCCTGGGGATCAAACTCATGCTGAAGCAGCTTCAGCCAGCTTCACAGTGCTGTGCGTTAACCCACTGTCCCACCAGGGAGGGCCCATTTTGTAATTTTTTTAATTATAAATGTATTCTGCTTAACCCACAGCTTGATATCGCTTTGATTTTTTTAAAAAGTAAAAATTAAACACTAATTCAAACTCCAGACTCTACCAGCTCAATACAAGAGCTCTGAAAGTTGTGCATACCTATGAGGAAGAAAGGAGAAATGATGAGAGGACCCAAGATGTTTCACAAAACAAGATCTGAAATAACTGAAAGGTCCTTCCTCGGCCTAGTTCATTGCCGGTACCAACAAACCGACCACAAAAATAGGACAGGATAGAGTGAAAATCCAATGGCCCAAACCAACCTCCCCCGCGTGGACGTCCAGCCTCGGTGTCCTGCCAGACAGCACCCTAGCACACACCGTAACTGTTACTGATCCCGGGTGGCCTCCCGGGTGCCCGGGGACCCTAAACTGGCCACGACCCCTGCCAACCGCCAACAGATCCTGGTCTGGGCTCTTCACCCGCGCACAACTGCCAGACGGTTCGGGCTCAGAAATAACCACAGGATTTACTTAACAGAAGACACAAGAGACACTGAGGCCAGTCATGGCCATTCACTTTGCCCAGAGCCGTGTCCAGCGCTGTCCTGCAGAGACCTCTACGACGGGTCCTCCTGCCACTGAGGAAGTGGCTCCTCCCCAGCAACAGGCCGCGGGTCTAAGGGCGTCTTCCCGCCTCCGCGGAGGCCGGGCCGCGGCCAAACTCCAGGCCAGTCTCCAACTCACAGGGCCTACAATGCCCGGACGGGAGACGCCCCGGAGCGGCAGGACGCTCCAGCACAGAAGGGCGCGCTCGGCACAGCAGCCACGGCCCCCAAACGGCCCAGCAGCCGCCGCCACGCAGCTGGCCAGGAGCCGCTGGGCTCGCGGCTCGGCCGCTCCAAAGCCGCTGCCTGCCGGCCTCCACCGTCCTAGGCCACAGCGGCCTCTCCCAGGTCAGCCGGGGCTGGGTCAAACCCACGGGCCCCCAAACGGTGCAGCCGCTCCATTTCGCAGCTCCAGCCTGGAGCTCAACCTGGAACGGAGCCAGCCCGGTAACAGCGCCCACCCGGCCGCTCCCTCGGTTCCGCCCCAAGGTCGCCCTCCCCCAATCACTGCTCAACATTCTCCCTGCGCCACTTGTTTCCATCGCCTGTCCGTGCTGGACACAGGACGCCCCACCCGCGTCGTGACAGCAGCCCACTGCGCAGGGCGCCACGGTCAGCACAGGACGCTCGAGCCGCGGCAATGAGACGCGCCCGGGGCGGCGAGACGCAGTTGCGCATCTCCGGCAGCGATGGCGGCTGTGGGAGTCACAGCGCTGCGCCTCGGCGTGACGGGCTCCCGGGGGAGCTCGGCAAGCTTTAAGGGACATGCTGACCCCGGCCGTGGGGACGGCGGCAGGGAGCCGCAAGCCCACAGACGCCGCTCAGGAAATGGCGGGAAGGGACGCACCTGGGCGTGCAAAGCCCCGTCCACTCCCACCCGGAAACAGAAGCCGGAGGGTGGGAGGGGCGACTCCGCCCCGTCGGCCCGCCCCCGGGTGAGCCCCGCCC